TTTCCCTACTGTCTCCCACTTTTCCATCATACTCACTTCCTATAATTTTCAAGGGAATTGTCGTTGTAGTAGATGGAAATGCCAAGCAGAAGTGCACACAGGCCTTGGACGAGCTGCTCCTCTTCTCCAAGGTTTTCAGCTATCTGCCCTGTGAGCTAGAGCTTTTGTTAAGGGTATTTGAGATATTTCATAAGCACTGTACGTGTAACATACTCTTCCCTGGTAAAATTACTTTCCAATGTAAAAACAAGCTTGATGAGGAAGCAGGCAAACGAGCCAATGGCACCCTTACACAGCCAGCTCTTGTTTTGGAGGACCTAGGTCATCAGAGGCTTCCCTGAAGCTGCTTTTCTCAGTAACTGCCTGCTTCACCCAAGAGATTCAACTGTTCCAAAACAAACTCTCAGTTTAGATAAGCTGACACTTCAGCCTTGTGTACTTCAGCCAGGTCTTTTCCTGAAAAGCATGCAGAGAATTAAGCTTCAACAGAAGCAGGAAGCCACCTGCCTACCTCTTGGGCGTAAGCGTAAGTCACGCTAAAAATATCAGTGGGCTCGTCACAATAAAACACACACTTCAGTGGCAGAATGATACAGCTTTCTGCTGCACTTTGTTACACACATATCTTTAGCCTGGTCAACACACAAAGTGCTGTCAGCAAACGGCTGGGGGTATCTCTTGCCCAGTGCGTTTTCTTTGATGCCACCCAGCATCCCTGCAAGCCGATGTAGATCAACACTTCAATGTGAATCATCCAGGTGATTTCTAGGCCAGCGCCTCCCCCCTGCCAGCAGGTGAAGGATACAAAAGGTACGTTGGCTGGATTGTGCAGGAAGTGCGTGACAGCAATCGAGCAGTTGCTGAGCCACGTACAAAGCAGCATCAGTAGTCCAACCCTGGTCTGTACTTTGCTGCCCTGGAAAGAATAAACCCTCCATCGTTATCTTCCCACAGTGGAGAACTAAAGCACCAGAAGAGCTGTACTGATTCAGAACTCGCCTGCTATCACCTCATCATTTTAAAAAGAGACAAGTCATGTCCTTCACAACACCCGTTTGTTAGTTCTGCTGATCACAGCTTTAGTGCCTGGATGAAACCAGTATTAAACCATTCACCTTGAACTGTTTGCAGAGCAAAAGAAGCAGCAACACAGGTGTGAAATATGACTCAATGCAAATTAGCACCAATACAAAATCATAACCAATTAGTTGTACATTTATAATTAATGCTAGGGTAACTTGAAGGAACATACACACAACCCCCCATCGAGAAAGAACAAGGCATAAATTAAGCCAGGTGAGGATTCCCTATACAAACACGTGTCACTACAACTTCCCCTGTGAACTATCAGTGTGTTCCTATTATTACTGTCTAAGTAAAGAAAGATAAGACTCCAGTGGCTTTTGGTTCAGACAAAAACCACATGAAGCCAGCAAGAGGAACGCTAATTGCAGTGTTTGTTTTTGTTCATTAGGGAAAATGAGTTTTCCTCTGCAAATTGCCCATCTTCTCAACTGTCCCCCTGTCTTTGCTGCAGGTACTGCAGGCACAGCAGCACTGAGACTGGCTGTCGGAGATGTACCAGGGCCACGTTCAGAACACAGCCAAGAAAAAGGCTTCTTTCATGCAAAACTGAACTTCACACAAACACCTCATAGACTGGGTAATGTCACTGCAAGATACAGTCAAGTCTCAAAGGCAAGAAGGTTTACAGAACTGCTGGGCTATCTTCAAAGGGGGCAAGAAAATACACTGGAATGAAGGGTCACAGGGATCAAGGCAGTGGCAAAAGAGGAGGATTCATCACCAACGAAGCCTGTGCCCCAGACGTTGAACTTCCACCCGTGCCTCTGGTAACCCCTACATGTTAGAGCTGAAGGCAGTGCTGTTCTTCACTTCAGCTAAGTATTAGGAAGAAAATAAAGCAGCCCCCCAAAGGTCCTTGAATAAGCCAGTTTCCCATCAATCAGTCAGTAAGCAGCAGTGTGGCATGGAGGTGTGGCAGGCTCCCAGTTACCACTGCAGACCACGAGACAGCCAAGAACTGAGCGTAACAACTCTGGAAGAAAACAGCCAGCTCTGAAGAGACCTCCTTCAAGCAGTGCCTTCTGAGGTGCTGAGATGTGCAGTGCATCACCAGCACTACAGTGAAACCATTTCCCCAGAGGAGGAGAGCACAGATTACAGATACCACCCCTAGAGCTGCACGCAGGAAAGGGAGCATCCAGCCCTGGTTCATCATCGCCATTGTCATGACCTGCAGAGACCCACATGAACTGTGTCAGCACAGCAGAGAATACAGCGCCTGCTGCCGAGTTTCACTGTGAGTACCAGCAATCATTGTGCAGTCTTTGCTATAGCTTTGTCTGCAGCTTTGCTGTGACCCTGCCATGTTGTTGTATTGACACACAGGTTATCCTCCTGGCTGCTGCCCTTCCAGCTGAGTGCCACAACTGGTTTCCACTGACCTATACCTCACTTGCAACTTGGAGCTCCAAGGTTAAAACTTGCTGGTAAGTAGAATGCATGAAGTGGCTTGAACACAGGTTTAATGAAGTTTTCCTTTCAGCAATCAGGAAATAAGCAGCACGCTCCCACTTCAGACTGTACCACCTGTTTGCTACAGGCCAGTCTGGAAAAACAGCATTGGTAACAGCTCTCATTTTTCTTAAGGAAAGTGCATCTGTTAGGGGAACAGATGGTGGATGAGTCCGCCCCACTGGAAAGAAAGCACCCGTGCTACCCAAGATCTTTATCCCAGTGTTGTGGAGCACAGAGAACCCCCTGGAGAAGACACTGCAAGAGCTTGTTATGCCAGCAAAAACCCAAACCCAAACGCAACACAAAGGTGTAAGTGGAAACACATCAAAAAGCAGTTAAAGGGAACCTCCCCAGCAAAACCCAAGACAAGAGGAAAAGGCTTGCTTTTGGCAAGAAAATGCCAAAGCTGTGCCAAAAAAATACATACCCGTCTGTCGATCTTATCACCCTGCAAGTTACACACACATTACTCGAGATGTCTTAGGTGAAATGCATTTCAGAAACACCCCCCAGAGTTTGAGTCCCTTGTGTCTTTTAAGGCTGAAGAGCCCCAGGCAGCCTCACTGACTCAGATTTACCTTGGGCAAAAGTGCCAGGAAAGGCCACAAAGGAGCACTGTCTGCTTTCAGGTTAAGCGGACGTAAGAAGTTACATGAATTAATTCAACAGACAACACTCTGCCATTATTCTTAATTGCAGGGAAGTCTGATCACTGCCAGGGTAAGTAGCTCTTATCACCACAACCATTTGAGGAAAAAGCACGAGTACCAGAAGTGTGTCACTAGAAGTGTGGTCTAGGAGGTAAAGGTCCATCACTTGTCATTTGCAAAGTCAGGTGTAAACACACCGAAAGAGTTCAGAAAGCTCCTAGCTTTGGCTAGCAAACCCAACAACAATCAGTGCATGAGAGCCTGGTATTTTCAGGATGTTTTAAGTCAGCAGTTACAGGCTCCACACTAACCAGGCACTTTGTCAGCAACCAGATGTGACTGGGGGCCCTACCAGTTTGCCCTGGCTTTGAAACCAAGTTTAGCTCTAGATGCCTTCAGACCCTCTGCCTACTGAGGGCAGGCAACAGCAAGCACCAATCACTGATGAAAAATAAACGTTTGCTGCTGCTCTCCTCCCCCGGAAGCACAGAGTGCTTTAAACAAAGCCTAAAAGCCACCAGCAGGAGGAGAATCCCCCTCATTACAGTAACACACGTGTCCTGTGACGCACCCGCACAGGAGCAGCGTTTTTCCTGGAAACCCAGAGTTTGACCCCAAAGCCGGGAGCGGCGAGCGCCGTACCTGCGAGAGGATGTTGGTGCACTGCTGCAGCAGCGACACGGGCGGGTTGCCGATGCTAGTGGCGAGCTGAACACGCAGGAGCTGTTCCTTCAGAGTCGCGTTTTCCTGCAGAGCGTGGGCCAGGGCCACAGCCGCGCACCAGTTTGAGAGGGAGTCCGTGGAGAAGAGGCCTCCGCAGAGCAGCTGACCAGCCGAGACCGAGTTACCTGTGGCTACCAGAACAGCCAGGAGGTCCAGGTCAGATTACAAGAAGACACAGCAACAGCAAAACATTTAACACATCAGTGTACACTTAGAACCCAGAAAAATTAAACTTGAAGGTTTAGAAAATTCATAGGGCAAATCATCTTGCTTGTATCTGACACTCAGTTGCAGGTAAGACAGCAGTTGATGCACTGAACAGTTGTGCTAGCTCACACCTCACTGCAGAGGCGTTATTCTCGCGTACCGTCAATGGTAGATGGCAGAAGCGTTGAAACGATTTCCCCTTGTCCTTTTTGGTTCTTGTATAAAAAGCACTGAAAACAGTAGAGAACAGCACAGCGGAGCACAAAGGGCTGCCTCTCGTTCACCATGGACATCAGCAGCACTACAATTGCAGGCCTGTTTGGACAGGAAATGGGAAAATGGTGAGGACAGAGCTGCAAACAACGATGCACAACTTGGAGTGCGTTCTCCAGGTAAAGGGAAAGACTTTTCCCTGCTCCATCTGTTACTATTTCATACACTTAAGTCAAGCCTAAGTTCTGCAGTTAGTTAAAACAAACCAGCAGATTCATTATATGACTAATGAGCTAGTGCTCCTCAACAACATTTGTTTCAGATCAAGTTTTCTTGTATCTAATAGATCCAACGTGACCTTGAAGCTGCTGGCTCTGTACCATAATTCCAACTCTGAATTTAAACCATCCTTTGGATTAGATCCCTTGTCCATACCAGCACATCACCTAACACAGGTAAACATACTTCTTCCCCTACCTTGGTGGATTAGAAGGTGCATTTACAGAGGCAAAGTAGTCTTGGTTCATCTGGCATCCTCGAATGACCTCTGACACGGTATTAATGGTCTACAGGAAGGGCAGAGAAAGTTACATGTATAGTTAGTTAAATGTGTGTCATAATCAGTCAAATGGGAGCCATAATCTACTACCTAGATCCCTCACAGTTATTCAAGATCACCCTGACAGCTTGGTATCAAAACATACATACCAAGACTCAGCACAGAGATGTATTCAATAAAACCATTTCAAATTAAATCCCAACGAGGAACAACGGTGAAGCACGCTGAGCAAAGGCCAAGGGACAGAAAGCTCCATCGTACCCAGTGACCTCCAGCTTTCCTCTCTCAGATGAGTTCTGCCACGACAACCACTTACCCTGGACCTTTTAGAGAAGGCAAACAGTGAAACCTCTGAAACTCATCTTGTAAAGATAAAAGCATTGAAACCAAGGCCACGCAAAGGCACCGGGCTGCACTCAATCCAAGCACATAATTTTGTCTAGGGAAACACCACCTCCTCCTGAACGGCTGAGAGGGCTTTCTAGAGGCCAGAAATGCCCCATCAGTGGAAAGCTCTCAAGTCAGAGCACTTCTGGACTGCCTCAAAGAAAACAGCAACAACAAAAAACCCCAAGCCAGTGAAAAACACAAATCTGCTCAGCCACTCTGCGATATGCTGAAATCCAACAGCAAAAAATAAGCAATCCTGAATAGTTACTGGTTGCAGAATATAATGGAAAAGACTAGCTTAAATTTATGTTGCCCGCACAGGAAGGTGATACCTGTGACACCTGAAATACCTTCTTAGCCAATACCCTCATTTCAATTTGTCTCTGTTCATCAGCTTTCCCTTAGACTCAGCTTTCACCCATTTATTTGTCCCCATCCCTCCATCTGTTTGCCTCTCTTACTTCTGTCAGGATATCAGCGGGGACTCCAGTCGCCATCAGGATGGTGCAGAGCTGCTGCAACAACCCGCAGTGGAACATCGCCTTCTGACAGCTGCTGGTGGCACCAGGGGGGTTTGTGGGGGACACCAGCACCCGCACCAGCTAGGAAAAGAGAGACATGGCTGTGGGAGGAGAGCCTGAGACCTCGGGAAATGCAGAATGAAACAAACCCATTTGCAGTTTAGCCATGAAACAGAACTGCTCCTAAAATGGACATCAAAAACTACTAAACAGCATGGTCATCTCATTACTATGCATAGCTGTTTGATTTTGGGGTTAGTGAAACCCTCTAAATCTTAAAACACCCGGCTCCATTGCAAATGTTGCAACCAAGCGAGGAGAAACCAAGCGCTGTTTATTTACATTTTATTATTTGGCTCACCATTTGTCAGAGCTACATTTCAGAAAGTAAGCAACTGCCTTCATCATTCATCTCCAGCTTCCAAAGTGCCACAGAACAGGATAACCTCATCTCACTTTTTGGAGCGGTGAGCAAAAGGGAAGATGCCCAGCAACCCATAGTTATCAACCCTCAGAGAGGGGAGCTACTGGATCTCTGTTAATGCACCACGGCCACATATGAATTCATACAGGAGGACTCTTATACAGACCACCACTAATTATATCTTTAGCTCAAATCCCTTACATCTTACACTACATGAAATGAAGTTACATGATATGCCAGCCATTGCAGATTCACAATTCAGAAACAGGATGTGCCTAAAGAAGTCCATCTCATGAGCATCTCCAGTTAATACTGAGCTAGAGACAACACGGATTTTGCAGCCAACCTGCACTCTTCTCACTGCAGGAGAACTGGAAGAGCATTGACCTTGGTACTGGGGAGCGGGATGAAGTGCTGTACCTGCAGCATGAGGTGAAGATTCGTGACTTTCTGTGCAGACCACCCACAGTTGTCATCTCCCACTTCAAACCAGGGCTTCATACGCTGAATGTATGACCCTTCTTTGAAGAAATTCTGATTGGAGTTATTATTCTTCAGCAGGTTCTGCAGGAGGAGGAGGCAGTCTTCCACTACTATTCCTGGGGAGAGAGAACACCAGGATTAATCTAAAGGTGACACCTGGAAAACCAACGAGCTCCTTAATGCACAAAGCACGTTCTGATGGCACAGCACACATCTCTGAACTCCTCATTCTTCAACATTAGAGTAGGATCAACAACTGGCAACCTCATGCAGGACAAAATAACCAAAGGTCACTCTGAATTCAGTGTATCAATGGAAATACGCTGGGTCTGGATCAACGAGGAAACCACAATTATGGTTAACATTAATGGTTAATAATGATGACCATTGTTTCCAAGAGGTATACAGTTGGTGTGAGTTCATTGGTAGGGATGGGAAGAGCTTCAACAACAGCCTCACAACCCCTCTATCTTGATGTATACCTGCTTCAGAGTCAAGCTGCACTGCCTCTTTCTATCTAAGCACTAAAACCACGTTCCTCTTGAACTGCATCCCGATTCAAACGCAGCCGCTCTTACTGGATTACACGTCCCTTATCCTCAATTACTGGCTACATTTTTCAGCTCATTTCAAACCTACTTTTTGGTGGAGAAATAATTCTTAAAAATAGTCCATACAATAAGACAAGTCAAGCTCAAATCCTTGGATTTGCTACATGTTCTTTATTTACCCTCAGGATATCTCTCCTGAAAAAGAACAACTCATCAACCATGTACTCTCTGAAGAGAAAAATCCTCATGACAACCCTGTGCAGAAGACACCACCAATAAAGGCAGCAGCTTCTGGCACTGCTGGGATGCCTCTACATCGAGATGCGACAACAAGGGTAAAGATTTACTCCTTGTGCTCTGCAAACACCCAGGCAGGAGAGCAGCTGGCACATTCCAGGGCTGTGCATGCAGGAGGGGACACAGCACGGGGGGGAAGCAGAGAACTTAGCACGTAGGAATTTACATACTGAGTCTCCCAAAGTCATTAACTGCCTAAAAATAGCAGCTCTGAATCAAAGATTTGCTTAATCCTTCCATGCCAATGTACCTGGGATCATTAAGCTAGCAGAGAAGCATTACATTAATTGCTCCTGCAGCCCACACGAAGGTCACTGAACAGCAACCTGTCTCTGTACTCCAGTAGATGCTAGAGCAAACTACAACTAGTGGTAAACTGGTAACAAGTGGGGTTTTTTTAGCAACACAAGTTCTGCATCACTTAATTTTTTTACCCTTTTTTCCTCCCAACAGGTAAGTGCTCAGGCAAGGAGCTGACCAGAAAGCTGAAGTTCTTGGTGAGGCTGAGGGGACTCGGCGAGCTGTGACTGCCAAGCACTCCGAGCATCCACAGATCTCCAGGAGGAACACAGACACTGAACTGTAAGTGACCAACGCAGCACACACGTACCCAGCACTGCCACTCCACACACATACATTCACAGACACACACCGAACTCCTGTACTCATGCACACCTTCTCAGAGAAATTAGCTGATGTTCTCTCTAAATCTCTCAAGGGTGGTTTTCAAAAGATGCTGAAGCTCTGCGTACTTGCTCAATCTGTGGTTGCTTGCTTTGTTACGACCAGGCTCCATGTTTTAATCCTTCTACCCACTGACCTAGCTCCAACTGCATGCTAACACCAGCCCATCAACATGGTCACCTCACAGTCTGTGCAGAATCACAAGACAATGAAGAAGTCTTAGGCTTCACATGCTAACAGCAGCCCATAAACACTGTCACCTCACAGTCTGTGCAGAATCACAAGACAGTGAAAAAGTCTTAGGCTTTTCAGTACCTCCATCGCTGTTTCCTTCTTCTG